AAAAGAAATTCTTGTACCAGGTGCCAGTGGACAGCACCAGGACTGTCTATGGCTTAAATGAACACTATAGCTTATAATAAACATCGACTGGGATGAAACAAAAGGTCTTTAACTTACCTTTTCTCCCTCACACTGTCAGTTTGGGAGACTAGAAATTTGTGAAATTTAGGAGGCAACCCGTGCTGTATAGTATGAAGTCAACCAGGTAAATAAATTATATACTTCCAAAGAGAAAACTGAAACAACATGAAAAAAACAAAAAACTTTTTAAAATGTAACTTATTGTTTCCCAAGTGCACCACTAACTATTCTATACAGTGGAAACTGCAATTTGCAAACTACCAAGTATATGTGTTTCTGTAGAGACCTTGTATCATCTGCAGTGTGCCTTATTGCAGCATCCCAAATGCTTTCCTGAAAAACATCTTGGTTAATTTTGCACTATGTATTGTGTCTTTCCACCAGTAGCAGGAAAGGACCAGAAGCGAAAGAGGAAGTACTAAAAGATCTACATTAAGATTTAGTGGAATTGATGATTAAAGGGATTTTTCACCTAAAAAGCATAAACTAACCAGGTCAGAGTAGTAGCGATAAGAGGGTTCAGAAAACAGCCCAGGACACAAAACAAAACTAGGCAAGAAGCACACTGTTAGGATACACATATAAATAAAAAAACACCCAGGGTAGGAATCACAATCTACATTGCTAGAGCTTTGAAGCGTGTCAATGAATTATTTGGTGTGTGATGTCAGAAATCACCTCTGAATCTCTTGTGAATGATTGTTGATGCATTGACAAACACATCACACAAATTAGCCGAGTAGTAAATTTTCTAATAGTTTTTGGCCCGTTATATATGACTGTGTTCCCCCCTCCTCTCCCCCTTTTTATTCCTCTCACTGTTTTTTCTTTTTTCTTTATGTTAAAGCACACACTATAGGAACCCAGACCACTTCAGCTCAGTGCCAGATCCCTCTAGGGTTAACAGAAACTGCTATGTTAGGGTTAATCCAGCCTTTAGTGGCTGTCTCATTGACAGCCGCTAGAGGCGCTTCCGCGCTTCTCACTGTGATTTTCACAGGGAGAAGCAGGGCCGGACTGGCCCACCGGGATACCGGGAAATTTCCCGGTGGGCCGCGGCACCTGGGGCTGGGCTGAAAGCATATATATAAAAACATCCTACATAGCACAATGACTTATGGGGCTGGCATAGATTTTTTTCCAGGGCTGCTCGTATCCCCACTCCGGCCCTGGTGAGAAGACGCCAGCGTCCTTAGGAAAGCATTGAGAAATGCTTTCCTATGGACTGATTGAATGCGCGCGCATTCAGCCGATGACGTTGGAAGGAGGAAGAGAGTCCTCAGCGCTGGAGAAAGGTAAGCCTTTAACCCCTTCCTTCCCCTAGATCCCGGCGGGAGGGGGGCCATGAGGGTGGGGGGGACCTATTAACACTATAGTGCCAGGAAAATTAGTTTGTTTTCCTGGCACTATAGCGGTCCTTTGAACATTTACATTTTATGAGTATATTGTCAAATTTTTTATTTTGGTGTTCTCATTTCTTAATAAAGAATTAAAAATTAAAATATAGTATAATTCACGGATCACAATTTATGGATGCAGAAACAAAATAAAGCTGTGGCTACACATGATTTACTCTTATTTTTAAATTCAATGAGTCAGCACAAACAAAAAAAAACAGTATCCAAATCTTTGTAGACTACTATAATAGACTTGAAGCATAGAAAATATTACAGCAAACCATATGCACATCTTTATAAGCCATATTTTTAAAAAGATAGCAGCTTCTTGTCCTGCCTTGGCCACAAGTCACCAGTAGCACTAAGGAAATAAAGGGACATTGCTGTAGTAAATAATCTATTTCTTTCAACAGGTATGTTTTCTTTTTGGATTCCTGCAATCTGGAGATCAGAAATCTGAAAATTAATTCCATTGCTTTGTGCGTATCAAGTTGTCCTCAAGAACCGCTTAAATCATTAGAAGACCTACAGTTATTTGCAAAGAACAATGGTGAGTATTGGAAAAAGGTACCTATTATATCATAGAACTAAATATGTTAATGTGGTGCTATGCATCTCCTTGGTGTCACTGGTGTGTGAAATGTGTAACTATACAATTTTAAGATTTCTATCATAAAATATAACTCTCATACATTTGTCTTGTTTTTGAGGTTTAATATATGCCTGAAAGGGTTTTGCATGCCAATAAAATCACATTTTATTCCCAAATTCGCTTTTGACACTGTTCTGTGCAACATATTCTGAAAAGAACAATGGTCACCCCTTTTCCTATTTTTATATAAACTATTTTGTTTCTGGAAACATTAACTTTGTTAATATAGTTTTATTTACACAGTTCATACGACTTTTGTATTTGTTTATTTATGTATTGGTTGGAGTCCATCACAGTTTATTCCCCGTTTACATGAAGGATTGAGGGTAAAGAGAGGAAAGCAGGAGGGATTTATAATGCAAAATAAGGACCAATCAACTTCTAAGGGGGTATATTCAATATGTAATTACAAATCTGCATTTTTTTTTATTTATTTTTTTAAATGCCTGTCCATTGTTACACATGGAAATGTGATACACTTTCTATCTCTGGTAGAAAAGGCCAACTCCTTCGTGTGTATCCTCAAGGGGTATTTGGTTTATCATATATTGCAAGATTTTAATTTGGCAGTGTTAGCTTGGTGGATCTGCATGGGCTCTTAATATACAGTAAATACTAGTCTGCAAATTTTAGGCCAAAATAGAGCTAGGTAAAAAAGAAAAACCTTGACCAAATTAGATATTTTCTTACGTCCGCCTATATTTTCCAACTACAGTCTTGATATATATATTTTTTTTATTAACAAGTAAAAGTGCTTACATCACCAGTGCTATGCATTCGCTTTATTAGAATATTAAGTTCAGGGCTATGACTGCCCATCCCTTGTTCTGGGGCCCAATCAAGTTGGGGAGATAAAAATATCCCTCAAACCAAATTAACAAGCCACACCAGAGCAGGCTATTCACCAGAACTTGTTTATGTGCATATCTAAAATTGTATACTGAGAGCCCTGCAATATGGTTATGTAAGAGGCCCCATGATTTCTGATGGCAGCTTTTTAGGTTTTATTTAATAAGCCAGGAATAGTAGCAAATGAATAAGTGAATTATATTTTTTTAGAACAAATGGCTGAATCATTCTCCAAGTCTGCATTTATTCATCTCAGCTGTTGAGTTGTAAAAACAAATTTCCCCTTTGCATGATCCATAATTGGTGAATGAACCCCTGAATGTTTTTTACATCTTATATGATCATTTGTATACATTCTGCATCTTGCTGTTTTTGCATTTTTTTGTCTGCACTCTGTAATTTTGTATTAAATGTGTTTCAAATGCCTCATTCATATCACTAGGTTTAGATATTTAGTAGATATGAATAAACAGATACTACCTTGTCTTAGCCAGTTGCCTTCAGTGATAGAATAAAGAAGGTATAAAAGGAAAAGACAAAAGAGTGTGGTCAGATGATGGTGCCAGTCCCACCAAAGGGCTTGTACCCAGATAAATTGATAAACTAAACGAAAGAAAGGAAAATCCCCTAAGGGCGTTCCTAAACTGGCAATGAAAGAAAAAATGACAATAAAAGTAAAAAATACCCACAAGTCCTAGGAAGTATTGTGTATAAATTAAAGGGAAAAAATAAATAAAGGAGCAGAAATGTGCTGCTTAAAATCGTTATTGGTGCCCTTTGTTACACTAATAATGGGAATAAATCTTTATTGAATCTTGAAAAGTAACAAAGAGACACTATGTAGAAATTACCCCCCCAAAAAAATGAAGAGATCAATCTTATGGTAAAGAATGGTAATTAAAAATACCTATTTCATACCTATTGGGGGAGTGAACACATCCCTATAAGTATATGGGTGCAGGCAGGATCTACAAAAGACACAATTATTGTGCTGAATATATCAACAAAAGGAGATAGAGTAATATGTATACCAAAGCAGCAGACAATACTATTTGTGTCTATAG